GATTTTGGCTTCATCGCCTATTATGTTTCTGGGTGAGTACGATCGATCTCAGCGTGACCACACTGAGCTGCTTTAACGATTACATCGACCACTTGCTGACATGCTACAGCTCTGGCCCTTATCGCTGCCAGGTTGAACGGGAAAGAAGTGTCGGACTATGGTACCAAGCTGGAACAAACACTTCTCCTTTCGCCGACAATCTTCCCCCTCATCTTCGCGGCCTTGATGGGAAGGTTTTTCCGACATGTTGGTCTCTTCCTTGCTCAACGAGGCACAACTCTCGGCCGTCTCGAACAGCTGATAGGTTGCCAATCCGTCTTCTCCGCACTCGAACGTCAATTTTGTCTGAGATCTTGGTCTCTGCTTGGACTTGCATCCGTCTTGATTTGGCTCCTTTCGCCAGTCGGTGGACAGTCTGCACTTCGTCTTATTGACCAAGAGATTGGAAACGTCCAGTTTACCAAACAAGTGCGCTACCTCCATCCGACGACGTTTATGGATTCATTAATGGAGACTGCTAGTACCCTTAGTAAGTTCACATATGCCAAGCTCATTTCAGACGTAAACTGGCTCTATACTTACACTATTCGTAGGTACAGGCCGTAGCTCCTTCACTCCGATCTTCCTCACATCTATACTCAGCAGCACCAGATACCGTACTACACCCATGGACCTATGGGGAAATGTCAAACTCCCGCTCTACCGTACTATCGAGAACAGTACGTCTGACGAGTGGAAGTTTGTGCCTAACGGTACAGCCGACAACGTCACATACGCTTCCCTAATCGGTATCCCGATAGCCGGGCCTCCCTCGGTCGGCATTAGCTCTTTCAACATCGAAGCTCGCCAATTTGACGTGACCTGTTCAAGCAACAATGCATCACGAGGAGAACCTATAGATTTTGTGTCAAAATATACGTGGCAACTCCAAGTAGTTAACGATACAGCGCCGCCGCCTTGTAAAAAGAACGAGACGTTCTGTGCGCCCCCGGTTTGTGCTAGTTACCCCTGCCCAATCCGGAGTGAATCTCTCGTCGATTTGGATACAGGAAAGTACTCAGTGGCGAATTGTGGGCTGTCGTTCGAGAAATACGAAGTCGGAGTACGCTGCAATGGGACGGAGTGTGCCGCTTACAAGATGAGGAAGATGTACTTGTATGACGAGGACTACCCAATAGGCTACGATATTGCCCTAAGGAGGCAGTTCATGGCTACCGCGCTCCTCGCCATGACGAGCGCGGACAACTTCAATATGCCTGTTGCATTTGCTCGAGGCGCGACGACTATGGAGAAATGGCTGCAGGACCCACTCGACTTCACCGGCGTATTCTTTGGAAATGCCGAACTCTACAAGCTGTCGCCGCAAGTCTTCGGCGACCGTCTGACTATTCTGTACAACACATTCTGGCAGTCCACATACGCCAGCAGAGCGGTCGGCGGAAATTTACCAGCATCCGTGATGGAAACCGGCGCTATGAACTTCACCCAGGCACAACGTGCAGATGCCAATATTACATTCGTCGCGACCGAAGCCAATGTATCGCAGGATACGACGCCAATGTACAAAACAGATTGGAGATGGTTCGCAGCCTTATTAGTTTGCTCATTCATACTGCTTGCCGCCGCGTACACCGGACTCGTACTCAAGTACATCACGATCGCACCGGATATCATCGGCTATGCGTCCTCGCTGACGCTTTTGAATCCTTATGTCCCAACGCCTACGGGAGGAACTACTTTGACTGGATTGGCGAGAACAGCGTTGATGCGCGATTACCCTGTACGCATAGGAGATGTCTGCCCGAATGAGGCCGTAGGCGCGATAGCATTTGCGAGGGCCGACAGGAACGTAGGAAAGCTGGACAGGAAACGATTATACATATGAGCCTACAAAGTCGTAGCAAAGCGGCGTTGCCGGAACTATTTGAAAGATATAGAAGAACAATAACGTGCATCACATATCATCAATCGCAGCCATGGCTGATCATGCCTCGGAAGGTCGCACGTCAGATCCGCATGCCACCTCATGTGCGTCGATGCGACTCACTACAGAATCCTCGATTCATTCAACGACATTCTCGAACACTATAACGTATCACATATTGTCGCGCCGCGGTTATAATCACTACATGAAGCACACCGAGACAAACGACGCCATACCCACGCGGCTCGCGAAATCCAGGATCATGGCTGCAAGCAGCTGTCACCACCTGTCAAACCTGCGCTATAAACATTTTCACTCTTAACAGTAGGTTGAATGGTGTAGTTGTTTAGTCGCGTAGCCGATTCGAAGGTAATGAGGCATTTGGTGTGTCGGCTCCAAGACCTGCGGGGTTTCAGGTGCCTGAGGCAGCACTTTGGAACACCAACACCGGCGGGCACTGGCATTGCAACTCCGCCTAGTAATTTTGACAGAAGTGCTGTAAATCTGAGTGTAGGCGCCGTGGGGGCAAATGTAGGACTATATATGCAGGAAAGGATGCCTCTGCGAAAAGCTCATCATCAAGCCAACACTCATTCATCTCACGTTCACTTCATTTCATTCTCTTTACTTCACTTCTTCAGCGCTCGGTCGCCCCATTCATTCAATAGCACATCAAGATACCCATCGCTTTAACGCACTTTCATTCCAAATACTTCAATTTGTCAACATGAAGTTCACCAGCACCCTCATCGTTCTTAGCGTCGCTGCTCTCAGCAACGCACGCGCCATCTATGTTCGCCAGAACAACGCGCAGACCTTCACCGGCGCTCTCGGTGGTGTCGCTGCTACACCCATCCTCGACTCCGGCATCGCCAACCGCCCCTTCAGTGTCAAGGGTGACACTTTTGTCAACCTCTCGGGTGCTCTCCAGCGCTCTTGCGACCAGCAGTTCAACGGCTGCGCGAACTTGGCCAATGGTGGACAGGGAGACTTCTCCACTCAGGATTGCCAGGCTCAGAAGCGTGAGTTCGATGATTGATAGTCTCTGGAACGAAGCTAATCATATGGTAGAACAATGCGATGCTGCAGGTGCTGGCAACTAGAATTACCCTTTGAGGCAGTGAACCGGGGTATGCTGGAGGTCCTTTAGCGGTCAGCGAGGGGCTTGATGCTTTGCGACGAGGGGCTTTGCACATACATACTCTTACGATTAAACGTAACGCAATTTATGAGATCCCAATAGAACTTTCACATACGCACCTCTTGTGTCGATGATAGTGACTCAGGGTCATGTCTGCACTAGCCCTTTCTCTTTCTCTGCTTCATCTTTCCCCGTAGAATCTCTCTTCGGTAAGTTCTTGAGGCACGGCGCATTGAACAGACGACCGCTCCATGCACCGCGCGCTGTGCCAACAGCTACTACGCACCACAGCAGAATGACGGCTACAGCGAAGATCGTCCCTAGAACTCTGAAGAACAGACTTGGAAAGATGTTGCCAAGCTCCATCGTACTAAGCGCCATGACTCCGAGGGGAAACGTGAAACCCCACCAGCCCATGTTGAACGGAAAAGGCCGAGACTTGTAGATGGATGCCAGTGCGAAACAGAGCCATGTCAGCCCAAACGCCCACATGATGAGCGCCAGAAAGACCCCCAAGACGAAGAAGATGTCGCCTGCCACGGGAATATCTGAGAAGAAATCCGTCTCTGGAAAGATCCGTCTGCTGACCGAACCAAGATAGGTTATGGAATAGCCGCCCATGCCTAGGGGTCCTAGTGGCAAGAAGGATGACACGACAATCTCTCGTGGTGGTAGCTTGTGCAAAGCCAGGCGCGTGTAGTACATGACTAGAACCGTCATCGCTAGTGGTGTAGACATACCCCACATAATGTACGAAGCAATGATCGTACCGAGAGCATGTTGCGGGTTGGTCAAATGCTCTGCGACTCTGGCGCCGGTACCGGCTGCGACGATGGATGCAGCGATGGGTAGTAGCTGGGCTGCTGTGATGCGATCCAAAGCCTGGCGATCAGAAGCGGAGATCAGCAGGATGGTAAGCGATATTGTGACTGACACAGCGACTACGGAATCAATCATCCAGCAGACCCAGGCAAAGGTAACGGCCCAGGGCCCCCAATATGGGATGCATATTGAGCACCAAGCTGAGATGAGGGTAGCGAATCCCATTGGAATGGTTCCAAGGAACAGCGAGTTGACACTGTCCGCGATCATGACTGTCCATATCTCAGGGTATATCACGTATCGGAAGACTGAGACTGAGAAGGCGCATGCGAACAGGATAGTGTTGAGTCCAAAGAAGATCACCGCAAGCCAGTACAACCAGTCTGCTTTGAACGGTATAGCGACGAGAAGTAGAGATACTACTCCCGTGCCCATGGTCACGGAGAACCATGACGGCGAAAAGTTTCTGACAATCCTGCGCCAGCCCACCTATGCTTGTTTAGAGTACGTTCCCAAGCCTCGTGTGTTGATAATGTACATCGTATTTTGTCAACTCCCCAGATGCGACCGTAGTACTGGAACCGGTAGATTGAGCAGCTGACGTCGATGTCGGGCCCTGAGACTTCAGCCGTCGTATGGGAGCCTGCTGGGCCGCGGGCGCAGTCAGAGCAGGATTATCCGACGCGACGCGATCAAGTTCGTAGTCATCCATCTATGCGATGCGCTGTCCGTGTGTGCATAGCAGTCAGGCCGGCTAGAAATGCCATCTTGGATAAGACACCACTTTAGCGATGACGATGCAGTCGCCGCGCCGCCATTGCCCGCTCGCAAATCCCAGAGCCCAGATCCAATCACGTGGGTAGCACGGACCGATCAGTTTCACAACACTGAACCTCGTCGAAAAGGCTGAACCTCACTTCAATCTTCTCCGCAAACTTTCCTTGATCACGTCAGCTCCTTGTCGTCATCCCCGCATCCCCATTCTCTGGTCCCGCAAGCAGCGAGTGCAGGCCTGTACTCAACAATCCTTCGGTCTCGCTTCCGAACATCCGTGTGCCTGCCGCTGGACCCTGATCTTCGACAGGCGCATTCGCACTTTTGGTCACCAACAACATGCCCGGCTTTTTGGATCTTCCACTTGAACTCCGAAATCATGTCTACGAGGTGTTGCTTAACGAAGAGCTGGGGCGTTCTTTCCGCGGGGTTATGGTGGTGTCAGAGCATTACGTGAGGAACGATTTACCGCTTCGGTGTTATCGCGGGCTGCTGCGCGTATGTCGCCAGACACACGGAGAGTTCAAGCAAGCAATCCAACACCTGGTCGCTGCGAAACGCCTCAACTACGAATTCGACATTACCTTCTCGCATGGCCGGCCGTACTTTTCGTTGAGCTGGGTTCAATTTGCGGCGCTTTCGCCTACCATCAATCAACTCCTTATCAACGTCGACTTGCGCACAAGAGAGCCCCTCCGAGACGGGCCGCGCGAATCTTTTGTTCCTCATGAGCATGAGCTGGCTCATTTGTTGGAGCACTCGCCGACTTGTTTTGCCAAACAGCTCTTCGATTACATTGCTATCTTCCTGAAGACACTTGCGAATCTATTATTCCAAGGCAACCCTCACTTCAGTGTGTTATACACCGAACGTATGATCTTGAACCTGCGTACGCCAACGAAAGTGGTAGCGCTTGGGGGAAACGGCCACAATCCAATCACCCTGTCGCGGCGGCTTCGTGTCGACCAAGCCGAGGCCCGCAAGTTGCATAACACTATGCGCAACACTCTCCAGATTACGTCGAACAACTTCAAGGCATTTGACGCAAACAACTGTGACCGGCTATTCCCTCTGATACAGATTGGTTCTTTGCGGTTTGCGACGGAAGGGGTGATATGGGGAGAAGGACACAACTTAGTGCTTGCGCATGATGATTTTCAGTGGTTACGGTTTTAGACGACTCGCGAGTCCTAAAAGTTCGAGACGCTAATGTGACTACATTGGATTGAGAAAATTCAATCGTTATTAGCATGCTTCATTATAATGTCTACATAGAGTTTAGTAGGCGTAATCTTGGCTGCCATTGATCACTGACATGCCTACATCAGCTTTGGGATGCTTCATTTCTCGCCGTCTATCAGGTATGTAGGCGTCCTGCTGGTCTGCCACCTCGCTGATCCTTCTAAGTAAGATCTATGTAGTTGTGAGGGCCACCCAGCTGGTCGGCAAGATCGTCGACGTCAGATGGCTCTTTGCCCTTTCCTCCCGTCTTCTGCTTCGCCTTCCAGGCCGTCTTCCGCGCTTTCTCTTTCATCTTGTCTTTCATCGCCTTCTCCTTGGCTAGCGCGATCTTCGCAGCTAGGCTGCCCGCCTTCTCATACAGTGTGCTGATCACGTGCACGACGTCTTGAGCGCGGAGGAGTGGGTCTTTCGTCTCATCGTCTTTCGCACCTGAGACGCGGGCGTTGACGGCGTCGACGAGATAGCGGCGTACTAGGCTCGCGGAGCCGTGAGTGAAAGAGGAAAGGACGACGAGGAGACCGAGAACCTTGGAGGACATGTCGTTATCCTTGGCGGGCTTCATTGAAGCGGGCAGGAGCTATAGATAAGTCAGTATGAGTCTCAGTTCAGTTCGGACAAGGACTTTACTGACCATCTCCCATTTCCAAGCCCAATTCAAGAAGATCGCAATCCCAAGGTTGCGCTTGCTTTCCATACCGTCAGGAGCGGCACCGGCGACTTCCTTCAGGTCCTTTTGAACGTCGGCGTACGGGCGCGTGATCCGGATGGTGTTGTCCAAGACGAAACCTCCTGGGCCTTTGCCGAGGCTCATGACGTGCGAGCACCTCTGATAGTCGTTGAGATCCTATTTATTTGGTTAGAGTTTGTTGATTGCGCTTCAGCAGACCTCACTTACCTTCCATGGCAAGCCGTAACCGTCGACCCACTCATTGGACACCTCTTCTTCACCGTTGTAGAAGATGCAGACCTTGGGTTTGTAGTACTTCATGATCTCGCCCTTTGACGCGGCGACTTGCACAATCTGTCCCGCTTCGCAGGCGCAGATATCGTCGATCGGTTGAGCGCGGATGTCGTAGACGGCGGCGTAGTCGATCTTGAAGAACGTGCGAACTTGCTGGAGGACCTTGTCATGTTTATCGAAAGGTCCGAGGGTGAAGTCGCTCTTGGTCTTGTCGATGGAAGGGCAGTGAAGATTTATTTTGTGCGCCATAGTAGCGTTGATGTTGTTGTATACTCAGGGGAGCGCAAGGTGATGGATAGGTCAGGAGACGCGAGATCGTGAGCAGAGATAAAGAGCGGGTAGATGAGCGACGAGAGACTTGTCGCCCTAGAAGATTCTTCAAGTCAAAAGTGAAGGTGAGCGTTTGCATTGTGCGACAGTACGTCACTGCTGCCTTGCGAGCGCTCTTCCACCGCCTCGCCTTCACTGCGCTCAGGGTCCATAGGTGTAGCGACTGATCCACTGTTGCCCCCCACAGAAGATTTGTATTGACTCTAGAATGCATCTAATCTTGTAAGTTTCCATAAGAAGATTCCGGGTGGCCAAATGGGGATTACGACGGGTTTGAGATACCCAATACGCAGTTCCGATTAGATCACAGCTTGAGAGATGACGACGGGTTTGATATACCCAATACGCAGTGTTCATAGCACCGACCAAGGATTTTCTTTTTGCTGCTGGGTTCGATTCTAGGTTCCAACATTGATTCTTTTTGTTTTTGCTGCGTTCGATTCACGAACTCAATTTAACTCTTTTTGCGCGACTTTGCAGGCTGTCATTATACGTCAAAGCGCGAAGTGACTTGAGAACATGTTAAAGCAGATAAGGAGGTCTCGTAGATAACTACAAGTGATTAAGGTATGTATACGCCCGGCAATCAATCGCTAAACCCCTCAAACTCATCCGCCGCGTCTTGCGCCTCTTTCTCCGCGACCTTCTTCCTAACCTGGTCAATCATACCCTTCACCCTCTCCTCCTCTTTCCTCTCATCCTCCGTCAAAGCTGCAACACGATCATGTTCGCGCTTCGCAGCCTTCTTCTCTCTCCTTGACTCCTTAAGCGCCTTCGCGTCCTTCTGCTGCGTCCACGCCGAAGCCTTCTTGTCTTCCGTGACGTATCGCTTCTTTCCTTCTTTCTTCCCTTCCGCCTTATTGGCTTCATACTCGCTCTGCTCCACCTGCCGTTGTGCTTCGCGCGCTTTGTCTTTGTATGCATATGTGCCGAAATCCATGACTACGCCTAGACTGCGGTCTCCATCCCATTTCTTGAGTTCAGGCATGCTGGGTAGTTTGAGGAGACCCCAGGCGTTGCCGTGTTCTGTCCAGTCGAGATCGGGGATGCGGAAGATGGAGCTGGCGGTGTGTTTGCTGTAGGCGCGGACCCAGGAGACGAAGCCTCGTTGTGCTTTGTCGAATAGTGCTCTGTCGGATTTGACCACCTTTCGTATCCGATTGCTCATTGCTGTGGCTTCTTCCGCGGATACTGTGACTTCAGGTGTTGTTAACGGCGATACTGGGGTTTGTCGGACACGGAGGAACTCGATGTAATCTTCTTCTCGGCCGGGACTGAGAAACGTAACGGCTAAGCCTTTGCGACCTGCGCGACCTGCGCGCCCGCAGCGGTGAATGAAGGTTTTCGGGTCGCTTGGTGCGTCAAGTTGAAGGACCAGGTCCACTGACGGGATATCAAGGCCACGAGCAGCGACATCTGTGGTGAGAAGGATGGATGGTGTGACGCTCTCTACGAATTTGATGAAGTTGCGGTTCCTAACCTTGTCCGGGAGTTTGCCGTGCAGGGGCACGATGGTGTATCCTTTCAGAACTTCAGGTAGAATGTGTTGGAAGTAGTCGACTGAGAAACATGTCGCCAAGTACATGATAGACTTTTGCGGCTGCGGATCCAATGACTTTAAGACTTTCTTGATGGCGGGTAGCTTGTGCGATGCTGGTATGGTCAGATATGTCATCTGCAAGCTTGCTGGCGTTTTCTTGTCTTCGATGGCGCCCATTTCCCCTGTCGCACTATTGGGTGCAGCTCGCGCCTTGACCTTGACAGCGATACGAACGGGATTCCGGAGACCCACGCGGATTAGTTGGTCGACAGCCTCGGAAACACTAGCACTAAAGAGACCGGTTCGGCGTTGCTTTGGCAGTCGTGACAGGATCCTTTGTAGGTCATCTTTGAAGCCAAGGTCTAGAAGACGATCGGCTTCATCGAGTACGAGAGCATCGAATGATGACTGTGAGCAATGGACATGTGGTGAAGAAAGGAGTTCGAGTAGTCGTCCCGGTGTGCCGATGAGTACGTTGGTAGATGACTTGAGGAATCTGCTCAGATCCTGAGCGGGCGTTACTGATCCTCCGAGAAGGAGCTGGGGTATGACCTTCAACGTCCCAGGTGGAAAGGTGGGTTTTGGCGGAGCATCGGCGTCTTCCATATCAGTATCTTCATCTTCAGGATCCAGTAGCGCAGCAGAGGGGGCGTGGAATCTGAGGAGCGACGAAAGGACTGTGTGGATCTGTGTCGCCAGTTCTCTGGTAGGTGAAATGATAATGGCACCCACGTGATGCTTTTTTATAGGCGCATCCAGTCGCAACAAGCGCTCGACAATGGGAATGAGGTAACTAGAAGCTTGTTAGATGCGCATGAAGACTTGCAATGTATGACCTTACGCTAGAGTCTTTCCACTCCCTGTGACGGCCTCAACTACAACATCAGAGTTCTTCATGAACATGGGGATGGCTGCGTGCTGCACAGGCGTGGTCTTTACGAAGCCCATGGAATCCACAGCTTCGAGAATCCATTCTGACAAGGCAGGCGTTAATGCGCTGAATGAACGATCTATCTTAGTTTGGGGCGCCATGATGCACTACGATATCGTGAAGGTGTCTGCTGGAGTCGCGATGGCTGTACAGAAAAGTCGCGCGAACTTTGAAAATAAAGTGGAGCACTGCACGGCCACTTTGCGCCACACATTCGTCCACAGGCAGATACGCTCGAAGCACGCGGGCGTCGCGGGGTCGTCAGCTGTCACTGTGCTTCGAGCGCATCTGACAAAAGCTTGATTACTCAGAACATGATGCATCGAGTTCGCGAGCCTGCAATGACACACTGACACGGTGTCTCCTTTCTCGAACCTGATCGCATCGCCAAGACTGATCCGCCGCCACGCTGATCATAGGCGCATTCGCGAGACCGGATCATACATGCGTAGCCGTGAGACCAAATTTCCCAGGCTCATGCAGCAAGATTACAGCCGTCACGCCCCGACCCCTTCCCTGTTCACCCGCCTATAACAAATAAGACGACCGCTGCTGTCGCCTGCACGCACTGTGGCATCTTCTGCCTCCCTAAACGATGCGCGCTGCCCGGACGAATCCGCGGGCCATGAGCCTCTGATCACGCCTGATGCTGACATCAATGTCGAAGCCACCCTAAGTGCCGCCCTCCCACATGTTAGCTGTGACGCGCCAACCCAGCCTCATTACCTTTATTCGCAACCCTCCGATCGCCAGTCCCTGCTGGTAAACATCGCCCTACTCTGTGCCAGGGCCCACTCCACTCTCTCCGGCGTCATCCGGGCTCCTACCTTTCCTTACTTTCCCACCTGCTGGCGCGTAGCCATGGAGTCTTCACGTCAATACCAGATCCCCAACACGCCGCGTGTGATCTCACCGTCGCCAACGCCCTCGGAGGCGGGTAGTACGAAAGATGGTTATTTCGGACCCGTGACGCGCTCTTCGACGCGCAAACAACGGGTTACGTCACCTCCACCTATCGATGAGGACTCAGGATCAGATCCCGACAGCAGGGCTCGAGCAAGGAGCCGGAACGCCAGAAGTCGGAGTCCTATCCTGGATGGAGGCGTGGGACGGCGGAGGATGAGCGGCCTGACAAGCCGTAGGCAGATGAACGGGGGCATGAAGAAGGATCTCGCGCTGCCTGGCAACACTTCAAACGGCCACCTGTCACCCGCGCAAGCAAACAAGAACTACTGGAGGGAGATGAGCAGGAGTCCGAGTCCTCTCGGCTTGATTCCCATCCACCAGAAATGGCGGTCATTTGTGAGTACACACATGGTGACTTTGCAAGCTCATCACTGATACCGATAGATTCACCGACATGAGATTCCGCGCAAGATCCTCCATGTCTCTATCGGCTTCCTGACCATCTTCCTCTACTGCACCGGCACGCAAACGTCACAAATACACAATGTCCTCCTCACCATGCTGATACCCATCGCGCTCGCCGACGTCATCCGACACCGCTACTGGCAAGTCAACCGCTTCTACATCCGCTGCCTCGGTGCCTTCATGCGCGAGTCAGAAGTAGATGGGTACAACGGCGTCATCTCCTACCTTCTGGGCGCATGGATAGTCATGCGCTTTTGCCCGAAAGACATAGCAGTCATGAGCATCTTACTACTAAGTTGGTGCGATACTGCTGCTTCGACTTTCGGCAGGCTCTGGGGCCACCTCACGCCCAGAGTCAGGAAAGGCAAGAGTCTTGCGGGTTCCATCGCGGCGTGCGTGACGGGTGTTATCACAGCAGCCGTATGGTGGGGCTGGCTAGGTCCTCTCTACTCAGAGTACAATCACGGCGAATACGCTTTTGCATTCCAAGGCGCCCTGACGCTCCCTCCCCAGGCGCGGGAAACTTTTGCTCTCTCCGTGAAGCAAGCATCCCTCACCGGATACTGGGCGTTGGGCGCCATGTCTCTGGCGTCTGGCATCATCGCCAGTGCCAGTGAAGCGATCGATGTTTTTGGCTGGGACGACAATCTCACCATCCCCGTGCTTTGCGGAGCCGGGCTATGGGGCTTTCTCCGGATCTTCGGCTAATCAAAGCTCCCAACATGTACGATTTTACGTTTTGTCTCTTCTAGAGTCTTGCTATTTCCAATCTATATCCCCTTTGGATCAAATGATACCCTAGATACGGGTCCTCGGGGAGTGGCATCGCATCTGTCATAGTTACGACGGCGTTCTGGGACGTAATGGGAACTGGGCAGACGGAGATGGACGGGTATTGGGCGAGTAGATGGGGACATGAAGCGGTATGCCTGTATAAGCAAATAGTGATCTTCCTTGCAGCCACAGAAGCTACTTTGGTGTGAAGGCGTCGTAGGGCTTATCGAGTTTCAAGCCGAGGTCCAAATTCTCACGTTGCTCATCTACCAAGCACCGAATCCAGCTCTCTCACACGCCTTTAGGGCTGACTATCGGCAAGCACCCGTCCTCAATGCAGAGCAGACGCAAAAGGGAAGGCCTGACTACCCTGAGAAACCCCTGCAAAGCGGTATTCGACTTGGCGCATACCGCCACATGCGACACGGCCATTGGAGCATGCCGCCGACTTGCTTCTTCATATATGATCACGCTCACGCACGCTCACTAACAAGACTCACGGAGACACTCTGACTCTTGCGCATACCTCCATCCACCCAGTAATGCCCTACCCACGACTGCCAGCGAGCCCCCTGCCGATCGCCCGCAGCTTGCCCCGCCACACCCGCCGTTAAGAGCCCTCCACGTCCTGCGCCCGAACGCGCCTCTGGAATCTCCACCTACCCTCTTTCCGCAACAGAACCGGCGCACACAAAACTTCCCTCACGCAAGAACAACTGCATCCGGATCGCTGTAGAACGTGTGCAATCTCTGCGTCGCAGCTGTTATAACTGTCTCTTCGGCTTCGTTCCCCCACCCGTTCCCGATCTCTCTGCGCATACCGAGGGTTCGACTTCGAGCGCCACTTCACATACACATACCGAAAAGAAGGGTACTATGGCTTCGTCATCTGCGGCAGCGGGGCTGCTGGCTCGTCAACTCAAGCAAATGCAAAACGACAAGAGTATATCGGGCATAAGCTGCGGTCTGGTGGACAACAATGTGTTCGAGTGGGAGGTGATGCTGATGATCGACGACGACACAAAGTTTTATGGAGGTACAGAGCCAGACATGGCCTTCAGAGGTTACAGATCTAGTGCTAACACCAGACAGGAGGATTCTTCCGCGCGCGCCTCACCTTCCCCAGCGAATACCCGCTCCTCCCACCCAAGATGCGCTTCGAGACACCCATCTTCCACCCTAACAGTACGTCTCGTTCCCTACAAACCCCTTATAACTCGAATCGCATTACTAACAGCTCTCAGTCTACCAAAACGGCGAAGTATGCATCTCAATCCTCCACCCACCCGAAGAAGACAAGTACGGCTACGAATCCGCCGCAGAACGCTGGTCGCCCGTCCAAACGCCCGAAACGATTCTTCTGTCAGTTATTTCCATGCTGTCCAGCCCGAACGACGAGAGTCCGGCGAATGTGGAGGCGGCGAGCTTGTGGAGGGATAATACGCCCGAGTTTAAGAAGAGGGTAAGGAAATGTGTGAGGGATAGCTTGGATTATGAGTGAGGTAGACGATTAGGGGGGAGAGGGAGGGAGGCAAGTGTCTTTTGTGATAGCATAAGCGCGGACGGGTATTTGGGTAGGCGATTATCTGATTGTGTCATGGCTTGCATGGCGGTGTTTTTGACTGTTCTCAGGGAGGCTTGAATGCATATGATACCTTCTTCTGTGAGTTTGTTGATAGTATTGGTGTTGTCGGATCGTAGCAAGAGTCGGGATCTGTTCTGGTGCTTCATCATAGGCTTTACGGACTCTGTGATGAGTAAGTGGTTTTAGACTCATCGTTCGACCAGCAGAGGAATCCAGTAAGTAAATAGGGTCTCAAAGCGAATTCACGAGGTGAGGTATAAGATGTAGCTTAGGAAAACAGATTTCTCATTGTATCATACACCTCTCTATTCCTACTAGCCCTCCATCTCGAAGTATATCTACAAATAAACTGTCCCACCTAAAGGAGTGGTAGGCAGTGACAACAAGAACAGTAAACCCCCTTGCGTTACATCTCAGCGATGTCTCGACCGCCATTCATATACATCCATGTCTCCAGATGGTTCACTGCTTCAGCAGCGAACCTAGCATGCCCGAATACACCTTTGTATTGAAGTCGGAAACAGCTTAAGCAGCAGTGCAGAGCAGACCATCAGCACCGAGAGGCACAATGCAGCACTGAGCCGTCGTGCCGTCCTCAGCGCAAGCAGCCTGGAAGTCCTCTGTTGTTTCGATACCAGCGCCGGCTGTTATACACATTAGCACTCATTCTCCTCACTTCAATGCACAGAATGTTGTAGCGTACCGTTCGCGCAGTTCAAGTTGGCAACACCAAGGACATCAGTCTGGCAGCACAATGGCGTGGCGAGGCCACCGCAGATCTCGCTCTGACGAGCCTGGACGGAAGTGGCGGTGTACGGGAAACGCTTGGTGACTGCGGCGGCGGAGGTGAGGCTCAGGAGAGCGGTGAGGGTGAAGAGGGTGAACTGCATTTTGGTGGTTTGGTGGGTTGGGTTGGGTTGGTTGTGGTGGTGTGAAGGTATTGTAGGTGATAAGATGATGAGATGAGAACTGTGGTGATGATGAGTTTCCTTTGGAGGAGAGAAGGATGATTTATATATCTCTGATGGACGCGATGGCGGAGATGATTCCTTTGCCCATGATGCCCTTCTTTGCCTTGCCCCCTTGTGCTACACTGCCTACACTACTCTCGTACGATACTCGATCTTGCTCGATCCCATCCCATGCTCCCACGTCCAAGACCACGACACGTCGATCAATATCCCCAATACCCTCCTCCCCATCTCTTTTTCGTCATTACATCCCACAAACTACCCAATGTTCGCCGACCATCCTAGCCTTCCTCTCACTCTTCACTGTTCAAACTCCACTACCCGCTATCAGCCACCACGCCGATCGACATGAGGCTTAGATACCCAGTGACGATCCCCATCCGCCAAGTACGCCCAATCTACCTCCCCGTGCGCCACGTAGTCTACAAGCAGATACGTCACGCCGTTTTGGGCGAAGTTTCCCTCTCTGTTTGGCCGCCTACCCTGCGTTACCGTGCAGAAAAGGCAACGACATATGTGGGGACCTGATGAACGGCAGGGTAGTGCTTTGGTGTTTAGTGTTTCGCAGGGATCTAGGGACGAAGCGACATGTAGATCTGATAAGCTCCTGCTTTGGACGTATGCCGAGCATAAGCAATGCTTGTGGGAGAGTTTGGGCCGTCGGCGAGAACTAGAATAGTAATCTAGGTTCTTGGAAATGTTTGGTAGTGATTAGGGGTAATGTTATCGGAGGGTTGTTTGTTTGGTTCTGTCCCGCATGATCGCTGTAGAGAAAACGTGCGGTGGAATGGTAGGTAGTGAACGTCTTGTAGAGGTGAATTGGTGGTTGAGGTCATGGCCAGGTGGTGATCTCCTTCGATGCCTTCACAATTTGAAACGGTACCTGCATACTCAGCCCCAGAAACACCCACAACCTGACAGACAGATCCGACACGTCTGTCATCGGCATTAACCACCTTATCTCCCACATCTCCCAATCTCTGTGACAAGCTCGCAACGATCAACGATCCAGTCAGCTCGGCGATCTTTCCCACCCACCAATACCAGCACTAACACTTCCAATCAACTCATCGATTCCATCGATGTCAACTCCAGAATTCCGTAAAACAATCCCCATCCCTCCGCCCTATCTCGCCATCCTCCCCGTACCCACCGTATCGCGTCACCAGCCCCCACACGCTACCACAGCTTGGCGCGGCTGCAGCGTCGATCATGACGGCAGATAGCTACAAGCCTTCCGCCCTGAGCCTATCTCGCTCGGGTGCCCGGGTGCAGTACGTACCGCATGCTATCTCTTGATACCAGGGACCGAAAGAAGGAATTATGGTAGTGTGTATTTTGGGCCTGTAGGATGCAGGTGTGGAGTGGACATGTAAACCGAGGGACGATCACTACCCACACCCACATGAAAGGGGGTATTGGCTCGGCAGTGTAAGACAACGAACAGGGAATAGGGAATGTCACGAGGAAGGGAGCAATGTGGAAATGTCGATTATCTCATCTCGTCTCTTCATCTGCCCCAATAGAGAGATAAAAGAAGAAGAAAGCACACGGCCAGCATATACTCTCTTCTTCTTTTCTTCCTTCTCTTACACACAGTAATTACCATCTCTCTTTCTACATACATACACATCTCTCTATCTCTCCCACATCATCAAATCGTCAAGGAAATCGGGGTGATGGGAATAACAAAAAATCAACAACAACGGCGTATTTACATGTAAACATCCTAGGGTATCAGGCGCCAAAACATCCCGCATCCGTAACAAAACCAAAAAAAGCCAAATAGATCAAAAAGAGCGCCAGATTGCTGTCAATCCATAAACGTCGAAGCGAGTGGGTGTGTGTTATCAATGTAGTCGTTTCCTCCCTCCAGTCTTATATGTCGTCCCATGGGAAGTCTTGCGGATCGATCCTTGTGCATGTCAAATAGGGAAGTCCGCCCTCTCGTAGGTCGAGCTCGAGGAAATTGCGCATCAGCGGCTTGACTGCGTCTTTGGCTTTGACCTTGATCTCTTCGATTCTGCGCTCGAAGCGCTTCAGGTTGTCGCGGTTGTAGTGGTCGGGGTTCAGTCGCAGGAAGCGCTTGCATTCGTCGTGGTTGAGGTAACTTGAGCCGGCCTGGCCGAGCAAGCGGAATATGCGGCCAGTGTTGAAGACTGGTGGAGGTGGCAGCGGCGCACCGTCTCTCGAGTTCTGGGGTCGTGGCGATTTGAGGATTGGGGCCGGGGGTGGCGTGGTGTTCTCGGCGAGCCATTGTCGGAATAGCGAGACTGCTATCCAGTCCAGCCAGTTGCTCGATGGGCTCACACGCTCGCCGCGACTGGTTGTGAGGGATAGGCGGAAGAGCTTGACTTCAATCTTGGCCTTGAGCTCGTCCATCTCGTCGACTTTGTCTTCTATCAGCTCGATCACGGGCTCAGCGATCTGGCCGCGGAGCTGATTGATGCCTTGTGGCCACTGTCCGACAACATGCACCATGGCTTCGGCGAAGATGGCTTTACTCCGTGCCATGTAGCCAAGTTTGAGGTAGCTGGGCGGATATTTCGCGATCTGTTTCCATAGCCGGCCTTGGAAACGCAGCAGATGATGGTCTACGCGTGGTCCGATGACGCCAAGCGCGTCGTACATGTCGGCGAGCTGCAGAAGCGATTTGCACTCTACGTAGGCATTCGCGATGTTGAGAGAGTCGAGCGTGGGAGGGTAGTTGTAGAAGATGCGGAACAAGTTGTCGTAGTCTCGGAAGGTGTCGTCGTCGGGGTCGGTCTCGGGAGTGGCTGTCGCGGGCACGTGGAGGGTGGAGAAGTTGGCCATGCTGCGGAAGAAGCCTGACTGCGGTGCGGCAGGCTTGTTGCGCGCAGTAGGCGGTTGCACAGGTGGACTTGGGTCGCCGCCAAACATGGTAGGCTGGTTCTTCTGTACTCTCGTTAGCACGGTCTCCGTCGCGGACGGGAAACAAACACACCTTCTGCACGAGCATGGGCAGGTCGTCATCGCCGCTGCCCCAATCCATCTCGTACCTCCATTTCCGCTTCTGCTCGGGTCGTGATCCTGATGGTATTCTCGACAGGGCGGTGCCGTTGCTGGGCCCGGCGTTGGTCACATCGCCAGCAGTCGCCCACTCATCGCTCGTGCCAGCCTCGAAGAAGCCCGAGCACTGCGTCAGAATCAACTTGTGCAGCAGATAACGCATTTCCTTCCGCCCATTGCTGATGACGATCTCGACGTCGCCGGTATGCGTAAACACGGGGAACTCATTCTGGGGTGCTAGCGACGAGCCGCCCACATTGGAGCGGTGCTGGCGATGTCTGCGGACGGTGGATGCGCGCGACGAGTGCGACACAACCGACGAGGGACGCCGTATGGGCAGTGAGCGCTCTGCACTCGCCGAGTCTGGGTAGGAAACCATGCGCCGCGACGTCTGCTATCTCGGTGTCTAGGGTTGGTGTTGTGGTGCTCGGGGTGGCCGAAGGAGTGGTTTGCGACAATGATGCGTTCCAACAATATTGCGACGGCTCGCGGATGGCTGGAGGCGGGTGACACTGCGAGGGCGGGGGCAGGTGGCGACAGCAACAAAGCTGCGTGGTGCGGTGGTTGCACGCAGCGGTGCAGCTCGCGGTGCAGGCAGGCTGGTGGTGGGCGGCCGGGTTGTTGATGCTGGTGAGCGCTGGAGGCTGGTGCGTAGGCCGTAGACGAGAATGGCCCGCTAACCACCCCACCTCGAATGCGATGGCGCCAAAGGTGGACCTTGGCCCAGAACCGGTTCAGCGCGACAGGGTAGACTCTGCTGCTTTGCGACGCATGTGCAGTCTTGAGAAGATGTTTCAGGAGCCGTGCAGCACCAGACAGCAGTGGCTGTGGCGGTTGTTCACATGGCCGCTATCCAATATGCACCTGGCCTCATGCACCCTGCCACCCAGCTCGAACAGGTTGGAGGCTGTGCGC